GTTAAATGAAGATGTAATAAATATCATATGTATTTTATACGAGTAGGCGGTATAAACAAAATGGCTGTCATATAAAACGTATTTGAATATCATTTTTGTCGTCGTCGTCGTCGTCGTCGTCGTCGTCGTCGTCGTGCGTCATACATCATCATCGTTATTAAAAATTATCCACAACGTTATGCAATTGCTTTGTTAGCGCATATAAAAAACATAATTAAACAGAGATCTATCGAGTCGCTGAGCCTGGTTAAGTATTAGTGAAAAAGGTTAAAGATTTAGGGTCGATAGAACGGGTAGCCGAGTGCCGTAGTAGACGCTCCTTTGCCTAGTTAATTGCTCAAGTTATTTAGGATGGAGGTCGTGTTAAGGCTCGAATCGAGCGTAACTTGTCCCTTGAATCAGTTTTATAAGAAAATATTAGCCAATTGGCAGTCCGAGCCAAGCTCGCCTTCGACGTCCGTCCGCGAAATCAAGTTTCCGCGGCTTCGTAAATTCGCCCCGTAATTTCTCTTCGCCTTCCACTCTTAATTGATTTATCCATTTTATCTTCACGAGCTCGCCCTGTGAGCACGACATTTGTACTTTTTTCTTATTAAAGACGCCTCCCGACAATGAAACCTGGACGAACGTTTGCTCTCGACCCAAGCGAGATTAAACATCTCGGGGTTTTCATTAGAACCGCCTGTCGTCGAATTCGCGCGTGTATCCGTGCCAATTACACAAGCTTCGCGCGACATCGGGACAATTGCGATTAATCGCCGAGAATCGTAGGACGTGTTTTGAAAGAGCAGATGTGGCAGATCGCAATTCAGCAGCGCCTTGAGAGGAGCATAATCCAGTTGTTATAGTCGTTTCGGTCGAGCTTCGAAGCCAGACTGGACTAGAGGAAGTGCGAGCAGCTTGCGATTCTCGATCGTAATCCTTGCGAAGCGCGAGAGTTATGGGGCCGCTGATTTCGAGCCGTTTCCAGCCGCTCATCGAAAAAAAGCAGGGCGAGCCTGCGAAAATTAACGGCGCAAGAGTGGGTGGGAGGGGTGTGGGGAGGGGACGGATTACCCTTGGGTGCGTGCTTCTCCGAGATTAGCTCGGCTTTATATTGGGATTACACATGTTAAACCATTAGGTTAAATCATGTTTTTGAACAAACGCGCTCGAAGGAGGCGATAGGCGGAAAATATTTGGAGGCACGGATGCGCACCTGAACAGCGCCGGGGCTCGCACGATTAATCGCCCCGTTCGCTCGCATTTGTTAAAAACCTTGTTTTTCCACTCGCTGCACACGGCGCATTTCATCTTTCGCTATTTTACGGTTATGGCCGGTCATTTTCCCGTTTTTATGTAAGCACAATCCCTACCCCACCCACGACCCCATGCACGCACTCGGGCATACGAGAACAGTGATAGTTCTGTGAATCATTTGTTTTTCAGGCTTTATGCAGCTCGAGCGAATTTTTCACTTTAAAGATCGATCGGGACGTTCGCTTCGAGCCTCGCGGCCATAAAAATGCCGTTTTTTCGATTTGAACGAGCAATTTATCCTTTCGCCGAGGATAATTTATTTTTCGATCGACGATCGCCACGAAGAAGCGACGATAAATTTCACTTGCCCACGTCCTTAACACCTAATCATCAACTACGCAATGTCCCGGCGTATTGCCAATCGTTTTCATTTTCCTGGGCTAATAGTAGTGCGCAAATACTGCGAATCTAATGTGCCGTACGAGTGATCGAGGGCAGTCGTCTGGGAAGGGACGGAGTATCGAGGGTCGACAACAAACGACCAACCACCAATCGTTTGTCATAATTTTGATAAAAATTACAAGGACGATCGCAGCGCACGAGGATCAAGGGAGAGAGAAAAGTTGCGGGGACGAGCGAGCGGGCGAAAGCTGTGCACCGAGCATATAAAAGGCAAGAATTATTCATAAAGATCTCGAGCCTGAGAAAGAGAGAGAGAGAGAGAGAGAGAGAGAGAGAGAGAGAGAGAGAGAGAGAG